CATGAACAATAACAATAGCTAACGGATATCCGAATAAATTCAGATCGGATACTTGGATAACGGATTACGGATATATGGATAAACGGTTAATGGATTGGAACTCTATAAAAATCATTTTTCTGCCATCCCTAAGTGTGAAATACTATGCGTGACTCGAACGAGGTACTGTATAAATTTACACGATGGTTAAAAAATAGGCAATTTTACCTATAATTTTGAGCCATCCTATCTCTTTGCATCGCTTTAAAAATCAATTATATAAAGTTGATCATGAAGAATTTTGATCAACTTTAAATGTTATATTATAAAGAGGGCTCTATATAACGATTTTGAAAATTCTTTAAGTGTCACGTGCAAGTTCCTTTTTAGTATTAAAATTTATCCTATTACGGTTGATACTAAATAATTGATTTTTGGAGTATTGACAAAAAAAATTCCATGAAATAAGAATTATATGATAATTAGAACGTGGTATGTTTTTATTTTAGCTTAGAGAATAGGGGTACGGCTTAATAAAATTTAAAGTAAATGTACAAAAAATAGACCAAAAAAATCATTTTAGCGTCTAAATATGTACGCTGGACGGTTTTAATCGATAATATTCTGAACCTAAATTTTGAAAAAAAAATCTGAAAGATCATAATCCCGAAAGATTACAAATTCTGAAAAATCACAATCCAGAAAGATCATAATCCCCAAAAGGTCATAATTCCGAAATGTGATACTCTCGGAGGTTACTTTCGAAATTATATCCTTTCGGATTACGATTATTCGGGTTGTATTTTTTTTTTTTTTTCAGGAATAAGTGTATCGAAATTTAGTATTTCGGGACTAATTAATAGTTCAAACTATTTAATAATTAAACAATGATATGTCTGGAATTCAATATAAATAGACGGTCCAATTTCTTTTACATCGATAAAAAAACTTCCTTCACTAAAACCTGATACATAAAATAAAAACCAATTTTTCTTTAAGAAATCGTCCTTTTTTTCTATATTTTTTCTTTAAAAAAAAAAGGAATGGCTCGATTTAATTTCAAACTTCTAGCTTTGTTATTAGTCATTTTGGCTACTGTTATTTCTGCCGCGGAAATCGATGTTGATGTTGGCAGTAATGGTGAACTTGCTTTTAATCCGTCAGATGTTAGCGTAAAAGTGGGCGATACGGTAAGTATTTTGATAGTTCTTTGTAAATAAGCAATTAATGTGTCAATTTAATATAATGTTCACTTTTATCAAAACTTTAGGTTAAATTCACATTGTCCTCGGTTTTCACAGTGTAGTTCTATCGGACACACCTAACGGCTGCACAGAAACTACGACAATACCAAATCTTAGTAAATATCTATCATTCTTATACATCTTTGACTTTATCAATATAATCTTCTTACACATACTCGTTATATAATAAACAGTTATTCTAAACCAAACCAATACTGTTGGTGCGAGTGGAACATTAACTATCACTCAAGATTTACCATCAACATTCGGATTTTACTGTGATGTACCAAGCCACTGTGATGAAGGTAATATGTATGGTAAAATAACTGTAGGTTAAAATATACACCTGGTGCAACTTCAACCAGAGTTAAGAATTCATCTCCTATAACATATAATATTAATACCTAATATGAGTCAAAATTTATTAGTTTAGATTTAATTGTTAGCTGTGATAAAAAATAATATAATTTTTATGAAATAATATTAATTTCTTCATCGATTAATGTTAATTTCTTCAACGATTAATATTTATTTTTTCTTAAAACTTGCTATAAATAAAACTATTAAAAGTTTGATGTGGTCTAGTTATCTCTTAATTATTAGTTTACATAATGTTGATTCTTTTTGTTTTTAATCTAAATCAATAGATTTTGATTTTTCATATAGTTCTTTACTTTTTAAGGCTTTCTTAGAAGGCATTTCACTTAAAGCACTATGGCCATGATTTCAGGCTCTTTAATTAACTTTAATTAGTTAAATTATAAGGCATTATAAAACTATGTTGAGTTTAAACCTATCAATAACCTACCAGGTACAAAGTTACTTGTACTAATCCATTATCTATTTTGAAATCTGAAAATTAGAGCGTCTCAGTGATAGATTTAGAAAAATTCTAATTAATCAAAAATTGGCCACTAATAGAAATACTAATAGAATAATTTATGTTATAAATATAAAATTAGAAAGATAAACCAGGAGTATATATATTTATTTTAGACTTAATTGTATGTAACTTTAAAAAAAATTATTTATACATGGGCCAACTCTAATTTGTAAACTAATAATACTAATCCTAAAATTGCAAATTAGATATTATTAATCAAATAATCGAAAATTAGATATACATCTACAATATGGCATCAGAAACCTGTTTTTATAGCTTGTTAATTTATTGATTATCGATTTATTAGCTGATTTTTGTCATACTAAAATAATGTTCTTTTATCAGCTATGTTTTTGTGAATTTGTGATAGTTTTTATGTATTTCTTTTTTAATTATTGATAAGTGTTTGGTTTCAGTAACTTGTTAATTTTAGCTCTGCAACCTATTAATCCGATAATTAAGCTGTTCAAGAATTCATGAAAATAGTGTAATTGTTTGACTATGTTTGACCATGTTAATTGTTTAGTTTAACTGATATCAAGATAACAAAGGTGACTAGTGTATCAAAATATATTTAATAAACTTATTAATTCGAAAGTTACGAGCGTATTAATATTTATTACACGAAGTAATAGAGATCAAATCGATTATCATCGTGTTTATAATAGTTTTCAATTAGCATTAACCACCAATATCATCATGAACCATGAGAGTAACGCACAAGCACAAGGCCGATCATCTTGAAATCGAATCTTTAAAAAAAGATCGTTTGTACCATTTATTCTTTTTTTTTTTTAACATTGTATACAAAAAATTCAGTTTAATAAAATTTGCTTTTCGAGGCTCTTTGAAAGTTTGCACTTGCAAGGCCATCGCTACTCTTGATGCTCGTGCTCTTCAGTACAGCACGCTCATTGCAATAAACTTATACCAGCACAACGAATTTAGAAAAAAAAAACGACCATAACCAAATTCAATCGAATCGATCAAGGACACAATGACAAATTTGGACATAAAGCGTAGCACAAATACTGAGGCATTTTGTTTATAGTGGTTAATTACGTATTGGTGCTATGTGTTATCTTCCACATGTTAATCTTACTTTAGTACAATGGTCGCAAAAAAAGATCCGAAAATAATTAATCACACCATACATACTATAAATCGATGATCCTGTGTTTAAACGAATGCTACAGACTGTTGAATTTGTTTAAGGCACAAAAAGTTGATCTTTCGTTTTGCATAACATTTCAAAATTCAGGTTGCCGGATTGGCTTTTTTTTAATTCTACTGTAAATTAATAGACTCATGTTAATATCTAAGGCCATGAAAAGTTAATGTTTCTCTTTGCATAGAATGGAATCAGGAAATTGGGTCAGAGGTGTTTTTTTCTATCGGTCCTATAGAATAATTCTGGGAAAAAAATAAGGTCTCCATCGGGTGACATCAGATAAATTTATGGAAAAAAAAATAAATAATAACAATAGAATAATTGGCACAATTGGAGCAAAAAAAAAAAAAGAAAAAAAAATATTAAAAAAATTGAATAAATTGGTTAGCGTGTTATGCAAAACAAAAAAATTAATTTCGTGTGGACTTATCCTTTTTAACTATGAATGTAAAATTGATAAAATAGCGATAAACGAATACGATTATCGACATACTAAGTATTTTTCACACGGTGGACGATCATTTACAGAGTGATCATCTCTTCTATCTCTTCTAATTAGATAACAATCTCTGACTTAAAGATAAACTAGCGTCCAACAAATATATCACATGCGTGCGGTCATAATAATTCGGTAATTATGTCTTAATTGCATATCGATAACCCAATTTATTAAATCACCTGAATCAAAAACGTTAAAATACACAACTTCTCGCTTAAATTATATAGATCATTCTATTAGTATTCTCATTTTGATAATTTGAAATTTTGTATTATTTCGGCAAGAAATGCAGGTTTTGTAAATCTATCACTAAGGCACACTAATTTTTAGAATTTAAAATGGATTAGTACTTAACTATTACAGATAAAAGTCACTCTTGTACTTGGTAAGTTACCGACAGGTTTAAAATAGTAATGCCGACAATACGCATACTGTTTATATTTTTGAAGTTTCGACTAAACCGTGAAAACTATCAAAATATAAACTGATAAAACTTAATATACTGTACATGCGATAAAACAATCAACTAAGCATTTAACGTTTATTGTATAGTTTAGTTAAAACTAATTGTTATGTTCTCAATCCTAGAGGATGGAATCGTTGAATAATTATCTGATCATCGATCGAAAATTTCGAGCATCGGTCAAAAATAAATTTTGACGTGTTTTGGTGATAGTGATAAATTTATTGATTTAATTAAATCTTTCAAATGTCATTAATTAAAGACAAAATATTGAATAATGATACTGCATCTTCTATTAATGCTTTCGTAGAGTTCTTTTTCAATAATGAAGAGGACGAATATAACTATAATATTCTGCTTGTGAACCAAAATCTAATGTAAAAGAAGCTGTTACCGATAATTCTAAAAGAACAAAATTTAGAAATACATTGGTCTAAAAAAACAATCCTGGGTTTGGCAGCATTTTAATTTGATCATAGTAACCAATAAAGATTGCAAAAAAAAAACAATATGGCGGTCTTTACACAACTAATTTTAAGAGAAATGGCACGAAATTTCATGCACTTCCTGCAATAGTAACCAAATGAACATTTGTTTTTGGATGCAGGAAATATGATAAGTGCGAAGAGAACATTATTAAATCCAAAGTTTTTTTTGCAAAACAAATATTTTTAAAACATAATATGAAGGCAATTGGTTTTATTCTTCCTGATGTTTAATATATACAGTCTTCTCCTATCATAACAGACTTCTTATAGCGGATATCTCGTTATAATGGGTTAGTTCTCTAGAACAATTTAAAATTTTTATTATTATATAATGCTATATCAGATATCGATGAATATTCGAATATTCGGCCAAAATTTTTCGAAAATCGAAAATTTTAATCAACCGATGTTCGACTCCAATCTATTAACTACATTCATATGGGCTCAGCCAAACAAGTCAACGCTACCTCTAAAGTCAAGTACACAATTATAAGCTTAAGAGTTTATTTAAATATAGAAGTTTTAAGCATGAATAAACAATGAGAATTCACCTTTTATATTTATTAATCGTAAAAAGTATATAAGAATCAATTTAAGAAACAAAAAATTCTTTTAAAAATCTGTAATCGTTCTACACTATTATTATAGAACAGGTTTATAAGATACTATATAAAATTAAATGTGAATAAATAAATTGAACGTCTCATGATTATCATAGTTTTAAAATATATATAGTAAATCAATTTCTACGTTTAAATTAAGAATGTTATGTACAGATAATGTTATTTTTATACGTTGTTTGCAGAAGTCCTAGGAGCCCTTCTCCTCGAAATTAAAGATCTTAATGTTTTTGGCAATTCAAGGAGAAAATAAACCAAACTACCAAGAAATCTAAATAATGCTAATCCGGCAATAGACCAAAGAATAAATATTACATAAGCATTGATTGTTGTAGTAGTTTTAGGTACATAAGCATTGATTGTTGTAGTAGTTTTAGGTAAATATTGATTAATGCCTAAGACAATGGTTGCTAATACTGCATTTGTTAAAATCCATAAAAGCACAAAGTAAATTCGAAATCTTTTCCTATATTCTTCCTCGGTTAATATATTCATATTTCTAACTTTATTTTCTTTACGGTGACCTAAAGCATTCTTGGCTTTTTCATATCCGTCAGCAGTATCTATGGGAGTGAATTGTAAGGAGTCATTTCCATGTGTAGTTACTTGTTTCAATTCATTATCATCATCCGCTTCTCTGTTCCCCCAACTGTAAATTGCATTAAAAATATAATTAAAAATATAATTAACTTGTATGTATACAAATAATGATAATGGACTTAAACAGATAAAATTTGTATACATTACCTTACATCATGAATATTGCAGAAAGCATAAACGTTTAGAATGTTTACATAAAATGGTACTAATAAAGTATACTGAATGATACAAGTAAACATATGCAATGCATCAAACATCAATAAACTTCCAATTAAATATAATCCGTATGTAGAAAGTAAAGCCAGAACGATGTTTCTAAAATGTTCATCATAAAGAACTGAATTAATGTTAGGATCGTTATCTAGGATACCCTTAATGGTAAGCCAAAGCCCAGCTAATAATGTATAAACCATAATTAAACCAAAAAACATCAATGAAATTATGTAAGCATATTTAGAACTATGCATATTTTTTTTAAAAAAAGGTATATTAGAAAGTGAATAGTAATTAATAGAGAATAATTACAGTAATAATGTATATTAACCTTTTAGGTTTATTGCCCATGGCAAAAATGAACTGTGCACAGATCAGCGCAACGTAAACCCAAATAAAAATAACGAATATCTTTTCATTAATCTCTTCACTAATTGATTTAATCCCAGTTGGATCCGTTGGAGAGGAAAAAGAATCCCCTACTATATAAAACGTTAGAAAGAAATTTGCCTGAAATAAAAACAAAATATTAGAAGAATGGAACTATATTTAATAAAGTTAACAGAATTTTTTACGGGATATTTACCAATGCAAACCACGAAAAGAAAATGTTATATGCTTGGTATAACATTTCAATATGTAAAAAGATTTTGCGACTAATAGAGTGTTTACTTCTCCAAATATAATAAAAATGAGAAACAGCGTAAAGACTTGCAAAAAGGGAACCATTTAACCAACGTCTACGTTGGGAAATTAATTTATCTATACTTTTTGGTATGTCCGTTTCAGCTTGAGAAGATTTAATATAATGTAACAACCATTTCGAATCACGTTTTGTGACCAATTCAAAAGTAAGAATACGATCTTCGGCAAGATACATATTGGCTGTGAAGATGTTATTAGTATTGGTAGATTTTTTATTATTGATAATTTCTTCATTCTTTATTTCACCATTATCATCTTTTTTACTTTCGTCATTATCATCTTTTTCACCCATGAAATAAGAGACAAGGGGACCTTCAGGCTTTCCATCAACTATATTATTTTGGAGAGCGATATATCGATAAGCAGAAAAAGCACCAGGTAAAACGGTAATGTAACCAAAAACGGATTCAAGTGGTTTATCCAAAATATTTGACATTTTATATTCAAAGTATTGAGCACCCACAATCGGATTTAGTAATTTGGACCAACTCGTCATAGCAACTATTTCACCACAAATACCCGCAACATTAGGATGAGTATTAAACGTTCTCCACAGATTATAGATAGAGTTTTCTCCTTCAAAAAATTATTAACAATGTTAGATTTATAATCTATGAACTGTTTATATCATATAAAAAATATTGATGAATGGAACTATATTTAATAAAGTTAACAGAATTTTTTACGGGATATTTACCAATGCAAACCACGAAAAGAAAATGT